CTTTCAACTGAGTGGATGAGGCCCATACATATTATAGACTGTAATCTGCTTTACTCAAAGACTACTGACTTAAATATTAATCACATTGAAATACCATTTTCATAGCAATATCTTGATTGGTGTTTGAACAAAATCTGAGGACTGTGGTCTAGCCATGTTGATATATAAACTCAACCATTATAAGCTATTTGTTATTGAGTTTTGAGAGTTCTTTTTATATTCTGGATTTGTAAATGGTAAATATTTTCTCCCAATCAGACTTGTATTTTTATTCTGTTAAGTGTTTTTCCGAAAGAATTTCTTAATTTTGATGAATTCCAATTTATCAGTATTTTCTTCTGTGAATCCTCTTTATAGTGTTATATCCAGGAAGTCTTTGCTTAGCCAAACGTGTAATTTATTCTTTGTTTTCCTCTAGAAGTTTTATAGTTTTAGATTGTACTCTTAGGTTTATGATCCATTTTGAGTTAAGTTTTGTTTTGGTGTAAGGTATAAATTGAAGTTTACAATTGCGTATGGATATTTACTTGTTGAACATCATTTGTTGAGAAACAGTAGTAATTTTTTTACAGATCAAGTGTGCAAAACACATAAAGATGTAAATAGAGTTAATAGTAAACCTTAATTTATAAGCTGCTGATGTGAGCTAGTTGTGTGGTCTCTTTGATGGAGCATTTGCAAAAGTTGATCTTCTTAGTCATTTATAAACTCATGTCTTGTGTCATCATACAGTAAAAATGGAAATTAATAAAATGGCAACTACAGTGAGCACAGAAAGGCCCCATATCATCATCTTGTTCTAATATAATCAAAAGATATCTTTGAACGAGGGTAGCAAAGCACCTGCTGCTGATGTTAAATCCAGGTTGTATGGTCTTGAGCCTGGGCTTAGTATCTCCTCTAAACATCTTTTTTCTATTATGGTCTGTAGAAAATCTTGGTTGAATCACTGGGGCATATGACCTTGAACAAAGTGTACTACTTTTCTACATATAGTTTCCTAGGGACTGAATAGAAAAAAAAAGCAAAAATCAAACACAAAAAACCTCCCAAAACACTAGAAGTAGTATATATTCCTGCCACTTCCGCTGACCCCTTTCCTCAGGTAAGAGGACAAATGGCAGCACCATTTGGAACACTTAATTCATCCTAGATTTACCTGGTAATTAGGTTGGACATTTGTATTTGATCATTGTTTTTTATTTAAGGAAATAATAAAACTCATCTCTTTGACAGATAAGAAGTTAACAATTAGTAGCCTAAAATACCTAAGTTAAATTCTCTTGGAGACTGAGAGAGGGCACTATCTTCCTTGATGTTTACATTTCAAAGAGATGGTTTCCCAGATCCTTGAGAGAGTCATTCCTTGGTTATAAAGCTGGCAAGAGGTTTATTTAATTTTTGAAAAGATTTATGTACATCTCAAAGGGAAAAAAATTTACAATGACAGATTTTCTAAAAGAAATGACTAAGAAAAAGGAGAGAAATCTCCTTCCCTTTTCACGCTCTAGGATTTTTTTCTTTTTTTAAGATTTGGATTTTTATTTAATAGTACTTATGATCAGAATCTCCTGCAATGTATTCAACGCATCTTTTTATTCATTTTTCTCACTGGAGACTGGAGACAAGTCTACAAATATAATTACTTTGATTTTTGAAGATTAAACTTTGTTCTTTAGGCCACCAATTAATTAAATAACTCTTCATTGTTAGTGCTTTCTTCGTCTATACACTCTATTAACAAATAAGGGCATTTTTAGCTATGTTAAACGACCCTGCTTTGGTGAATGTCCTTAAAATTGAATTTGCTTTTATTCTGAGTAGCAATGAATATTAAACACCAGATGTTATGTGCACCGTCCAGGGGATTAGGGATAAATATTAAACACGACAGGCATGCCGCTGTTCCTTCTGGAGCTTATGTTCATGTTATGGTTTGTATGTTAAATGTCCCCCAAAAGCTCATGTGTTGAAGGCTTGGTCCCAGCTGATGACATTCTTGAGGTGCTGGGAACTTTAGAAGTTAGGACCCAGATGGAAGAAGAAAGTCAATGGGTGTGCCCTTGAAGAGTATATTGGGACCTTATTGCTTCTCAACTGTTGCAAAATGAGCAGCTTTGCCCTGCCATGTTTCCCTGCGATGATATTCTGCTTTCCCCAGGCAACGGGGCCAAGTTATTATGGATTGAAATTTGAAACTATTAGTCAAAATCAATCTTTTCTTCCTTATAAGTCAATTTATTTCAGGTATATTGCCATGGTGACAGAAAGCTAATTAACATAGGCAGGGAATGAGTATTTAACCACTGGTCTTATTAGTGATAACTGGTGTTGTGTGACTCATTGAGAAGCATGAAGTGCCTTCTGTGGGACAACATAATGAAGTGTCCTAGTCTGGGACTGCAAGAGGTCACTTATGGGGACCTGTAAACCTGATTTAGGAATTATAAATTCAATGTCTTGGACTAGCTTCCTGAGCTTTTTATTCTCTGGGGTTGATGCAGCTCAAGAGCCAACATTTTAACAAGTTCCTCTATGGAATTCTGACACAGTTAATCCTAACACATACGTTTGAGACATATTGGGCTAAATAAAAAGCTTTTGAATATTTTATAGCCACAGGTTGATATAATTGGATTTGAATGGGTTGATGAATGGAAGAATGGTTATAGGATAGTTGGGGGACTGCTGGACTAGTGGACATATACAGAAGTAACAGCTATGTCACTACATGTTTGATAGATATTGAGGTAGAATAGGATCTTGTGATTGTTTAAATGTGAAAAGAGGTGTTCATGGAGGGGGAGATGTCAAGGATGAGATCAGGGTTTCACACTTAAGTAATGAGCAGGATGGTGGGATTATTTGCTGAGATAAGGAACGCTGGAGAAAGAATAATTAGGGTTGAAGGGTAGAAAGGAGATATTAATATTTTGGATCTAGAGACAGTCATGTGGAAATGTTTGGTAGGTAGAGATACCATTTTGAAGCTCAAGAGAGAGGTTTGGACTTGAGAAATAAGTGGGCAGGTGAGAGATGATAATTAAATGCAAATAGATGAGATCATCCAAAGAAGGCTATCCATGGGTAAAGTAAGATCTAGAACTAAGCTGGAGCAATGTCAGTGTGTTTTGTTAGGTAGAAGAAGGAAAGAAAATGGGGAGAGTGTGGTTATTTGTGTGGATATCTTTGGAGAGTAGCCCCTAGTAATTTTTTCTACTTGTAATTTAGCAAAAACATTTCCATCTCATTTTCAATCATATGTTCTAGAGGGTGGATATGACATAATGACATAATATTTATATCCCAGGTATCAATCACACTGATTGAGTTCTTCTTTCAAAATTATTTATTAGTGCATTATAGTTTATACATAATAATGGGGTTCATTTGGACATATTCATTAATTCTTATAACATAGTTTGCTCCATTTCAATCCCCAGTACGTCCTCTTTCTCTTCCCTCTTGTCTCCCCCTGATGCACTGAGATCTTGAAAATCCTTTAAGTTAAGTTAGTGTAGCAGGGAAATTCACTGAGTCTCTTTCCTTTCAAATGTACATCTCTAATGTTTGTCATCTTACCTTGGTGTCTGGAGTTTTTGGGAGCAGACACTTAGTGAGTGTCCTTTTGACTCATGAGAATGAAAACATTGATATGAAGGGGTGATGATAATGACTGGTTTGTTTCTTGCTACCGGGTCAGGTTTTTGGGATATATGGCCATCTTTTACTGTGAATTGCTTCAGAGTGATAAATGGGAATCCATGTCTTTTCTACTGAATGTTTTTTTTTTTGGGGTTTTTAAGTAATTCTGTTCCGTGATAATTAAAAAAAAAAAAGATGAAAAATAACATTTATTTATTTATTTTGAAAAGAAAAGCACCTGTTACTTTAAAAAGTGGGACTGTACTGGCCATATGGCTGCCAAGTCTCAGAGAACCAATTTTTCCTATGCTACTTGATCACGCTGTTAGTCTGTTAGGACTGGTTACCTGCTTCACAACTGGTGTTGTGGACACATGGTTCTCTGTCCCCTTGGCCAAGTAACTTGTTCAGGAATGGGCACAGGCCTTTATAAATTCCTTCTTGAGATAGAAAAATGGATCTTAGGAGAGAAAAATCTTCTTTTCCTGTTCTGGTTGCTAAGCAGGAAGGAAAAGAAGGTTTTTTGGTGGGCAGCCACATTTTCTATTGCATGTTGAGGGCTTTTCTAAAGGAAAAATCTGGCCCACAACCAGAGGCAAAGTTGAAAAAGGAAAGATGATTTCTGATGACATGGTGTGAGAGTGAGTTCAAATGTCATTTGATTCAAGTAAAAGAGTTATGGATAATATTCATTCTTTCTTAACTTAAAGTTTTCTCATTAACATCTGAATTAATTAATTAATAATAATAAATAAATAAATTAATTAAACTGTTGTGAAATACCCATTAAGTATCCTTTATGGGCCAGAAGCATACTCCCTGCCCCTCTATACCCACTAAAAAAAGGGAAAAGATAACCAATTGTGACTTTATAAGTCACTTAAGAATAATATGCCACTTATTACAGCAAGGGAAGAGAATATATGAGTTTTGCCAAGTTCCTTTGAGAAATCTCTTTTGAAATCATGCCTGCTTGCTGTTTTTATTGTTTCAATTAGAAGATAGGGACCTGCCTCAAATAAATGAGTAACTAAAGTTATGATTGGATTTACCAAGACCAATATATTTCTATCCTAGGGGATGAATATCAGAATCCTTGTGCTGTTGTGTGTACAGAGCTTGGGTGTCTAACCATCAGTACCAAGTGAGTTTCTGTCTTGGTGCAGGGGGTGGGATAAAGGCACCATTTTTGCAATGTAGGGACTGGGGCTGAGGCTCAGTGGTGGCACACTTGCCTGGCATGTGTGAGGCACTGGGTTCGATTCTCAGCACCATATAAAAATAAATAAAATAAAGGTCTATCAACAATTGAAAATATATATTAAAAACAACAACAACAACAAACTGTGATGTTATATTTGAGAATGCTGAGTGTTGCCTGACAAGGGAACTCTGTTTCTTGGTGTTCTGAAATTTCTGTCTTATTGCTTAACAGGTTTCAAAGTAAGCCTGGCATGGAGAATAAATGCATCCCAGAGTTTGGTAAGATTTTAAAATGTAATAATTAGAACATTGTTGCCTAAAAAGGACAGAACACTAACCTAGTAATGAAAACTGCAAGGATATATCTTGTTAAAAGGAGTGATATTTTAACTATCTTTTTGGTGACAGGGGAAGTGAATTAAAAAAAAAACAGAAGATGAATAAAAGCAACATTACAGTAGATCACATATAAGGAAAACCATAAACTGAATTTGAATTTTAAAAATTAAGGTCAAAGCATATTTAAAATAGTAAATCTATGCAGCATAGAAAAGTTCCATGAAGACTGAGGGATACAATGAGTGGAAAAATAAAATCTCCTTTTCTTAAGTAGCCTGCAGTCTAGTGTAAATCCTAAAGTCAAACACTAGTGTGCGTGTCATCTCCCACCATTGAGATTGAGTTGAGAACTGCCCCTTTTATATCCACAATGTAGTTCCTGACCTATCTAGCTGTTCCTGCATACTCAAGCATTGGCTTTAGGAAAAATGTTTCCTAGGAAATCTCTAAATGAAGCATCATGCAACATGTCTTTTTATTTGAGATTTAGAACACATTTATTATTAGTTTTGGTTACATTTTGGACAACTTGCAAATCTTCATTCTCCATCCCTGCATATTCTGTTCATTGTTTGTAGGTAGTTTTTTTTTTTTTAATGAAACCCATTACGAATTATAACTTCTCTGACTCCATCCCTGTTTTGAAGGCAGGTATGAGCTGCCTTAATTAATAAATACAGCTACAACTGGTGAGGTCTTGCACATCTACCTTATTCTCATAACATACACCAACTGGTATCAGATTTTCCAGTCTCTGATTCTCATGCCCTTCACCTGTATTTTGAAACCGAGTGTAGTATGATTTTCGTTGTTCATCACTTCTTCAAAGTATTTAATTCATTACTGTGGAAGACTGTTATTAAATATTCTTTATGGGCCTAAAGCCCTGCCTCTTTACACTCATGATGACCCCCAAAAACCAAACCAAACAACAACAACAAACAACAAAGGATGATCAATTGTGACTTCTATAAGAAGCTTAAATTCTAGTAGGAGATGTGGTTGTCTTGATAGATATAAACATATACAATCCAGAGAGTTTTTTTTAGGATGCTTGCTTGGACTGTATTCCAATTTAGTAGGCTAATTGTTAGTTGTCATTTCTCATTACTGGATTATCACAATTGGGTTCCTCTCACCATTTCCTGTGTCCCTCTATTACTACTAATTCTACTCTTTCCTCAGTTTTTCTTTCACAGTTTGTACTCATAAAACTTTGCCAGACATGCCTTATATTCATTATGTTAGCTTTTTATTCTTTATCACTTGCCTAATCTACTTTGTGTAGTACTTATGTTTTCCAGTTATAAAGCAACTGTAATATTTTAAAATTTTGATAAAAAAGATTTGTTAAAAATCTTTAAGAGTACAGATCTATCTCAGTGATAGAGAGCTTTCCTAGCAAGTCTGAGGCCCAGAGTTCAATCCCTAGCATTGAAAAACAAACAAAAACCAAACCAAACTAAAAAACCCCCTAAATTATTCAAGAAATAGCAACTGGTCTATCTTCAGTCAGACTACCTTGGTTCAAATCCTAGCTCTGCTACTTTCTGGTTGGGTTAATTATTTAAACTCTTTAAACATCTGAAAGTGATGATGATAATAATAATAGTACATAGGTAGTATTACATAGTGATTAAAGAGAGAGGGGTCTGGCACTGGAGTTAGAGCTTAGCTCTTTTCACTTTTTTTCCTCTCTGATCTTGGTCAAATTTATTTTTCTAAACCATAGTTTCTCTTCAGTTGTCCAAAATATTGACAATACCTGTGTCATGATGGAATGTGATATGAGGTAAGGCATTTAGCACAGAGCCTAGCACCCCTCAACTATTAAACACATGAGAGGGTTATAACTGCTAAACTAAAACTCAGACATGTAAAACAAAGTAGCTTTCTAACTTTTCTGTTACTGGTTTGATATTATTCCTGCTGTTGATGGGGACAAAGTAAAATTTCCTATCATAGGTTAATTAATACCTTTTTCTGTTTAAAAGATCTTTCAGGTGATTTCCCCATTTCTTTCATTGGTAAATGGACAGTCTTGGAGGGTTCCTTGGAGAATTCCTTTCCCTGCTATCTTCTCTTTATTCTCTTTCTCTGATTTGTATCTGGACACAGAGAGAAGCTTACATGACTTAATGGTAGCAGGAAAGATTTCTATCCCAGCAGGTATCTTTTTCTGCTGGTTCTATTATGCTCTGGTTGATGCATATAACTCACGTTGCCTCATCTTTGTCAGCTGATATTCTCTCTCCATCTACTATTGATGTCTTGTGACTGGTGTAGCTTATTGCTTGTTTTTCAGTCAGAGGAAGTGTAAGAGGTTTTTGGGAAAGTTCTCCATCAAGTTTGTCTCATGATTGAGCTCTCACTTGCTCTTACTGCTGGAGATGACCTGATGGGACCCATCAGCATTTCTCTTCCTTCCCTCATTCCTTTGTATTGTTCATCTGTGCATCTGTTTCCACTTAGTGATGGAATAGTGTCCCCTGAAAGCCATTCTTTTTATCAAAGTTTCAAATGGAAAGTGAAATTCAAGTCTGTTTTTTGGCATCACCTTGGCCCATCTAGGTATTTTTCCTTAAAGTTGGGGTGTGGGTGCAGAATTGAGGACTTTCCTTGATGGTATCTGTCCTTCCCTCTTCCTATCCCTCTTCTCTCTGTTCTCCTTTCACCAGTGCATGAAAGAATTACTACTCTCCCTCTGAGTATTCTGTTTTTCTTCCTATTGATACACATCAGTTTAGCCAGATTTGGTTGTTTTGATCTTGCTTTCAACTAACCTGGCTTTCAAGTCTTTTATGTTTCTGTGAGTTAGAGATGAAAATTTTAGATTTTATTGTTATAACTCTCATAAATATTAATTATAAAAATTAATGGGTCTCACTGTGGCATTTCCATACATTCATATATCATGCTTTGATCATGTTACACATTTATTCGTGCAGGACAAAACTTCATATACCAGTTAAGGCTAAAATTGAACAACTTTCTGTTGAAAACATGCAACTAAGAGTGTCTGTACTTAATCTTCTTAATATGAAAGAAAAAAAATGATTTTATCCAACTGAAATTATTGGTTTTGACTTGTATATCCTGCTAGCATTTTATATTTGAACATGAGTAGAAAATGTTTTCATCCTTAATCTTTCAACTAACTTAGCCTGTAGTATTGAAATCTGTTCAGCTTGTTCTTTGAAATATTTGTCAACTTCTATTGTTGCTTCATTTTTTTATATCATTCTTTGACAATCTTTTTTGCAGTCAGTTTATGCCGTATTCCAAGTGAAGGAGAAGGGAATTAGTTGGATTATTATCAACACTTTGCAATACAGAAGTGCCATCCAGAATCAATTTTATGGAAGAAATTGTGGTAGCTTTATAGGCATTATAAGATTTCAGGAATACTGATTGCTTTAAAAGAAAACTACAGTTTGATTAAAGGAGAACAGCTTTCACTTTGCACTGCAGAAGTCTGTTCTGAGATAGCTGGTGACTTTTCTCATAGATTATAGCTTAAAGTTTAACTTGCTGCATATTTTCCATTTCTGAATTTTCCCAATTTTTTTGAGACTTTTTAAAAAGTTTTTTGACCTTCTTTTTATGCATCTGAAATATTTTTATTGGTACAGAATAATTCTATAGACTAGTGGGTTTCATATTATAATTTGTTTTATCTACTCCCCAATTACTACCTCCTTCCCTCTTCTCTCCTTCTGATTAACTTCCTCTACCTTGATGGTCTTCCTAATGCTATCATGATGTCATTTTTCTTTTTCTATTTTTCCTTCTAGATTCCACATGAGAAAAAACATTTGATATTTGTCTTTCTGAGTCTGACTTATATGATACTTGAAAGGAAATTGGACACAGGGCTGACCACTCGGACACACCAAGGCCAAGCAAAAGCAGATTTATTGTCAGAAAACCTGACAGGCTGCCTCTGCACAGAGAGAATAGCAGCAACTCCCTCTAAGAGTTTCCTTTTGTAGCAGGGTCATGGATGAGGGGAGGGGGACTCTATTATAGAGTTGAGGTGAGTCTTTGCAGTTGGTATAGCAAAAGCTGCCTAATCTCATAAAAGCAGGTTCCTATTAACTAAGGGCAGAAATGGACAGGTTTGTAGCAAATTTCTATTTCTTTATGGGTAGGGACAGGTTTCTATTTCTTAAGAACAGAAGCAGGCAGTTATTTCTTAATTAGAACAGTAGTTCTAAAATGGGGTGGGGGAAAGGAAGATGGTTGAACTTATGCCAATAATACTGTCTAGGTCCATTCATTTTCCTAAAAATGACAGTTTCAGTTTTCCTTTTGGTTGAATAAAACTCCATTGTGTACTTGTACCACATTTTCTTTACCCAGTCATTTATTGTCCATCTTCCCTTCTACCTATCCTTTCTTACCCACTCCTTCCTCTCTCTCCCCCTGATTCCCTTCCCAGCCCCTAATAATAATCCTTTTTCTACTTTGAAGTCTTTCTTTTTTTTTTCTTTACAGTTTCCACATATAAGGGGAAAAAATGATACTTTTCTTTTTGTGTTTGGCTTATTTAGTTCAACCTGATGATTTCCAGTTTCATCCCTTTCTGTACAAATGACAGGATTTTATTTTTCTTTATGACTGAGTAATACTATTATATTTTCTTTTTTTAATTCATCTGTTGATGGGCATCTAGGCTGATTCCATATCTTGGTTCTTTTGAAATAGTGCCATGATAAATATGGATATGCAGGTATCTCTTTTTATGTTGACTTCATTTCCTTTGGATATATACCAGTGTGTGTTATAACTGCATCATATATAGGGTAGTTTTATTTTTAGTTCTGGGGTTGTACTATTTATGTTCCTACCAGTACTGTATGAGTGTACCTTTTTCTCCTCAACCTTACCACATTCATCATTTTTTTTCTAATATTTTTAGTATTAGATGGACACAATGCCTTTATTATATTTATTCTTTTTTATGTGGTACTGAGAATTGAACTCAGTGCTTCACATGTGCTAGGCAAGTGCTCTACCACTGAGCCACAACCCCAGCCCTGTTTTTGTTTTTTAAAATAATACCTGTTCTAATTGGGGTGAGATAGAATCTCAATGTACTGGTGGCAGTAGTGCCAGAAGTATTTTTTGCCTGTTTGACATTGATCTGGACTGCTGAGGTGGTGGGGGTGGCTTTACCCACCAGGCATGAGAGCATGTGGTGGGGGCCTTTTCCCCATGGATAGATCAGGGTGGTAGTGCTGGTACCTATGGAGGGGTCCCCATAGAATGTGGTTACTATGGTGGGTGCTTCCCTCACATGATGCACTAGCAGAGCCCAGCTATAGCTGTGGTCAGTCTTTTGCCTTTTACACATAGCACTGAGAGTGCTGCATCCTTTTTTTCTGCCCTGTTGTTTTTTCTGCATTCAGAGTATTTCCTGATGTGGGGGAGCTAATTGTGGATTTGCTCACACTAAGCCGCTACCTCACCAATGCTGTGTCCATTAAAATCAGCTTTCCTCTCTAATACACAGGTTTCTCCAAGACAGTTTTTCTTTCTTTTGTGCCGGCCTGGGCATCTTCTTTGTCTGCCTGGACTTCCCCTTGACTGGTAGCCCTGGCTGCTGCCCATGCTGTGGTCCAAGCTGTACTTCTCCTTTTATTAGTCCCATGCTATATTGTGCTTCTTTTCTGTAGTCCCCATAGATCCGTGTGATCTTTTTAATGTGCTGTTGAATTCAATTTGTAGGTATTTTGCTGAGGATTTTTCCATCTTTCATCATCAAGGAGATTGGTCTATAGTTTTTTGTTATCACATCTTTGTGTTTTTTTGTATCAGAATGATACTGGCTTGTTACTTAATAGGGAGGGGGTAGGGGGCCTTATTTGCTTGTCTGCCTTTCTTCTTGACTGTTTCTTCTCCTTCTTCGTGAATGGTTTGAGAAACATTGATGTTAGTTCTTCTTTAAAGGTTTAGCAAAATTGAACAGTGAATTTGGTTAGTCTGAACCTTTTCTTTGTTAAGAGTTTTTTTTTCTTTTTAAATTCCTGCTTCATTTCATTGCTTATTTTTGATTTGTTCAGAATTTTAATTTCCTTTTGGTTTAAAAAAGATCGAGACTACAAGTTTGTCCATTTCTTCTAGGTTTTCTAATTCATTGGAATGTAAGTTTTCAAAATAGTCTCTAATGGTCCTCTGGATTTCAGTGGTATCTGCAGTCTTTTTTCTTTTTTCTTTTCTTTTTTTTTTTTTTTAAAACTTTTCAGAAACACAACTTTTTGTTTCATGTTCCTTTGTATTGTTGTTCTGGTCTCTATTTCATTAATTTCATCTCTCATCTTCATTATTTCATTCCTTCTACTGGTTTTGGGTTTGGTTTGCTTTTGTTTTTACGAGAACTTGAGGTGCATCATCATTTACTTGAGATCTATTTTTTTTTTTTTAAATATAGACACTCATTGCTATAAACTTCCCTCTTAGTATTGCTTTTGCTGTGTCCCACAGATTTTGGCACATTTTGTTTGATTCTAGGAATTTAAAAATTTCCTCTCTGCCTTCTTCAGGGACCCACTATTTGTTCCATGTTGTGCTAGTCAATCTCCATGTGTTTGTATAACTTCTGCAGTTTTTTTTTTGTTGATTTCTAATTTGACTTCATTGTTAAATCAGAAAAGATGCAAGAAATTATTTGAGTTTTAAAAAATTTGTTAAGACTTGCTTTGTGGCCTAATATATGTTTTAGAGAAAGTTATGTTTACTGATGGAAAGAATCTATTCTGAAATTGTTGGATAGAATATTCTGTAGATATCTATTAAGTCAATTTAATCTATGATGTAATTTAACTCTATTGTTTCTTCACAGTTATTTATTTATTTTTTTTTTGGTCAGGATGATCAAATGGTGAGAGGAGGGTATTGAAGTCCACTATTTTTGTATTGGGGTATATTGCTTTCTTTATAAGCCGAGTAGTTTTTGTTTTATAAGATTGGATATACAATTTTTTGTGTATAAATATTTATTATAATTTTATTTTCTTGACATATTGTGCCCTTGATAAATATTCAGTGATCTTCTTTGTGTATTCCATCTTATTTCATCTTAAAATCTGTTTTTTCAGATGTCAGTATAAGTACTCTTGCTTACTTTTGGATTCCATTTGCTTGGACTATTTTTTTTTCCATGCTTTCACTTCTTTTCCTTTTTCTTTTTCCTTTCTCTCCCCTCCCTCCCTCCCTCCCTCCCTCCCTCCC